TTTAAAAAAGCACACCGTTAATCTAGAACGAAAAATCTGACGTTTTCCAGGCCTTTTCACGATTTTGATATTTTACGTTCCTGGCAAGTAAAATATCAAAATTTAAAAAAAAAGACCTTGGTAAGATACTTTTTTCATGAATAAGCATTTCGAGATATCAATACATCTTTGATAAAATCATAAGGAAAATATATACAGAGGACGCTGGATCCATCTTTGGAATTTGGCCAAAACTTTTGTATTGTTAGTGGTTGGTCTTCCATATTTCATGTGACAAGACCTTCGAATTCATTTGAACACCGTTATTAATTCTTTGATCTTAGAATTTGACTACTTTTGAAAAACTTGAACCTTGCCCATATATTTTAAACGACTGGTGTAAGGTTTATATTTCATAAATATATTCCAGTGACAAAAACTTTCTTTGGATATCAACATTTTTTTTATTTCTTCAAGTAGACCTTGGAGTTTGACTTGCATTTGAATCTTTAACCTTCGCCATGAGTTGCCTTACAGGAACGTTAAAGTTTCACAAATTCATTTTATTAATCCGATAAACATTCTCATGGTCACCTATTATTTTTGTTTTTATATTTTGCTGTACATAGTTGTCGATGCGTAAATTATAAACAACATTTAACAAATATCTTCTTGCAACTCTTTTGCGAAGTGTATATATTTTTTGATCTATCAAAAAAGTACAAAAAAATGTATTCCTTGTGACAAGACCTTTCTTTGGTACCCAAGTAATTGATCTCTTGACATTGATCCATTTTGTAAAAAACCTTGACCATAACTTTATAGCGGTTGGTGTTAAATCTATCATTTTTAGTGATTAGACCTTGGAGTTTGATCCACTTTGCAAAATTTCACCTCGGCCACTTTCATATTTCTAATGATAAGAACTTCCCTTGGTACCATTATTTTTTATTTTTGGAAGGGAATGATTATCCAATTTTTTTAAAATTAAAACTTGGCCATTAATTTTGAGCTGTCTTTGCTAGTGTTTTCATATTTCACAAAAGCCTTCCCTTGGGTACCAACAATTTTGATCGTTGAGTTTGATGTAATTTTGAAAACTTGGTCAGACTTTTTGTACGGTCTGTGCTACAGCTTTAAAATTCAAAGAGTATATTCCTTGTGACAAAAACTTTCGATTGGGTAGCATTTCACATGTACATGTATATTTCATGCAACAAGACCTTCTATTGGGCACCATTAATATTGACTCTTTGGTCGTGACCTTAGAATGTGACTACTTTTGAAAACTTATGCATCTCCCATTTTTCATATTTGATAAAAACATGAATAGTCTACGTGACATGATCTTTCTTTAGATATCAACATTTTTTATGCCCCCGTAAACGAAGTTGCGGGGGTATATAGTTTTTGTCGTGTCCGTCCGTCTGTCTGTGTGTCTGTCTGTCTCTCTTTCTGTCTCTCTGTTTGTCTCTTTGTCCGCAAAAACTTTAACCTTGCTCATAACTTTTATTTAGTGGAGCTATGACTTTCATATTTCACATGTGTATTCCTTGAGACAAGACCTTTCTGTACCACCAAATTTGACCTTTTGACATTGACTTTGGAGTTTAACCCCCTTTTATACAAAACTTCCAAATTTTTACTTTGGACATATCTTTTGAGCAGTAGATACCAGGACATTTATACTTCACATATATATTTTTTTTGTGTAAAGACCTTTTATTGGATACCAACAACATTGCACACTTGACCTTGACCTTCGAGATTTCAGTATTTATGCAAAAACTTTAACCTTGACCATACCTTTTGAACTCTAAGGGCTAGGGCTTTCATACTTCACGTATGTAATCCTTGTGAAAAGATCCTTCATTAGATACCAAGAATGTTGACCCGTTGACCTTGAACTTGGAGTTTGACCTACTTTTTAAAATTTTTAACCTTGGCCATAACTTTTGAAGAGTTAGGGCTAGGGCTTTCATACTTCACATATGTATTTTGTTGGCAAGACCTTTCACTGGATACCAAGTATCCTGATCTTTTGACCTTGACCTTGGAGATTTCCATTCTGTGAAAAAACTTTAACATACTTTTATATTTCCGAATTGTATTTCTAGTGAGTTTGCATTTAAGACAAGTTCAATCAGTGTTTTACAAACACATCTTGTTTTTGATTATTTCTTCGTCTAGACCTAGGAGTTTGACTTGCATTTGTATCTCTAACCTTCCCAACGAGCTGCCACTAATATATACGGGAACGTTAATGTTTCACAAACTCATCTTATGAATCCTGTGAACATTCTCATGGTCACGTAATATACTTGTTTCTAACTTTGTATATTTTGCTGCTATGATCGATGTTTCCTGTTTCAAAAGTTTTATATTTGCCATTATCAAATAATATAATCTTAATTCTGGATACATTGCAAACGATCTAACCTCATTCAATAAGTCCTTGGTTTTAATTTACAAGTTAGTTGGTTTACATAATTATATTTTTTAAACAGGAAGTTTTAATTACCTCCATCCTCGCAATGCCAGGGGTCGTGTGGCAATATGTTGACTCGGGATCCCTGGCATTGCGAGGGTGATTAACACCTACACAGGAAACCCTCAGAGTTTAACTTCTAAATCATCTTTATACCTATATGACTTTTCGGAAAAACCGTATCACAAATCCGTGTTTCCCACGAGGATCTGCGTTTTCAAATGGGGGGGGGGGGGGATTTGGAAACAGGTCACTTTTAGTTGGATTAGTTTATTCACTTAACATGCTTAATAACTCTGTAAATTTCGGGGGTGGTGGATCCGGATCCCTCCCTCTCTAGACCCGCGCATGCTTTTAGCCTCTTAGAATCTGAGATAAGATAGAAATACTTACAATTCAGTAAGGAATGAATTTTATAGCTACCCAAGTTTTAAGCGCAAAGTAACAACTGTAGTGAGCATGCAGGGTGAGAAGTGTTATAAGCGAGATAACTCAATTTAAATATGAAAATATAATATAGCGCGCTGAGCGCTGAGGTGAACAACTTCATGCACTTCGTCTTGTCTCCCTCCAATCACACTGGCGGATTTAGAGGAGGGTGGGTGGTTCCAACTCAAAGGAGGGTGCTAAGCTTGTCAAGCATTGAAAGAAATACTTAGACAGTACATGGACCATGTGGAACCTGATCTCCAGGATGCGCCATAGTTAGACTGACTTGGACAACACATGACCCATGTTGAACCTGATCTCTATTAGATACGCTATAGTTGGACAAATTATGGCTATAGTTGGACAATTCATGGCTATAGTTGGACAATTCATGGCCCATGTTGAACCTGATCTCTATGATGCGCTATAGTTAGACAATTCATGGCTAGAGTTGGACAATTCATGGCTATAGTTGGACAATTCATGGCCCATTTGGAACCTGATCTCCAGGCTGCGCTATAGTTAGACCGACTTAGACATACATGGCCCTGATGGGCCCATGTAGGACCTAATCTCTAGAATGCGCTATAGTTAGACAATGCATGGTTCATGTGGATTCTGAGAGGGCTTATAGGCTATGTCAGATAGCCGGACTACTATCGTTAATTGAAAAGTTTATCTTGTTTATATGGCACGCCGAATTCACAAAAATGAGCTAAACATAGTTTCGCAGTTGATAAACTAGGTGTATCGACTGTAAACTATGTTTACAAACCGTAAACTATAGTTAACAATTCGTTAACTATAGTTTTCATCTGTAAAACTATATTTAACGGTTGTTAAGAATTGTAAACCATAGTTTACAAATCGTGAAAATGTATTTATCAGATAATCTATGTTTTGCAATCGTAAATGATTGTTTTCAGTGTTAAGTATATAGTTTACTGTTCTGAAACATAGATTATCGCGTTAACTATGGTTTACAGATGTAAATTATAGATTAGCGTTGTTAACTGTAGTTTACAGTCCGTAAACTATAGTTTACAGCCGATAAACGTAGATTGTCGACTGTGAAACTATGTTTAGCTCGTTTTTTGTGAATTTGGCGTGCCATACGTTTACCATCAAGACGTGTACTAATTTTACAGAGAACAAAACCTGTACAGAAATATCAGTTTTTCGCGGTGCATATTCCGTTAAATGGATTAATCATATTGCATGGAGGAGTGAACTCCTTTGCACATATATTTATTTAAAAAGCAACGAGTAAAATAGACGTATTATACTAGTATATACATACGACTTCTTAGGTAGACACTAAACCATTCAGTATTGTTGTAAACGTTTGATATTAAAGACACCCATGCACATAATATTTTTTAAAAAATCACCACCAGAGATATAGAAAACGATTTTTTCTTTGGCCATTTATTAGTATTAAAGGGCATTTTGAAAGTTTTTCAATTTGTATATTAGAAAACTGTGTTTATGATTTCAGAAATTAAATACAATGTATTGAGATAACGAACAGTATTCAAGCTAAAAATCCATTCAAACAAATCGAAAGCATGGCAAACACAAGCCTCAAAAATATCAGAGACAGTACCAGGTGCTTTGGAGGGATGAGCATCAAGATAGATCGAGATCTTATGACATGATTTCAAAAGATACTGTTGATATCCTTGTTTCATCCAGTTTGTCTCATTTTAAAATTGGTCATACTTGGAGCATGCTCAACGTACCCAATGGAGACAATTAAAAAGCCAGACGGACGACAGGTGATCAGAAAAGCTCACTTAAGCTTTCAGCTCAGGTGAGCTAAAAATGTACGTTAACTGCAAATAATTGGAATCTTTCTAAGTCCAAGGGGCATAACTCTGTCACAAATTGCTCAATCTACCCCAAACTGAGCCTGACCTAGATATTCTTATGATAAATCTGTACACCAAATTTCATTTCAGTATGTGCAACCTTCTGCAAACAAAATGAACGGAAATTGTTTGTTGACCAACAGACAGACAGACCTACAGACAGTAGCAAAGCAATATGCCCTCCGTAGTCCCTTCTTCATGGAGGGGAGGCATAAAAAACAAAAAACACACTCTACATAAATAATATTTTACTCTCACTGTCATGTACATCACATATTTTCTCATATGAGGCTTGCAATAAAAGTAAAATATGTGGATTGGAATGTCTCAAGTTATCAAGGGTTCACATCAAAACAGAATGTATCCCTGTATTGAAAAAAACATACAAATAAATGGAAAATAATACCCTTCAAAAGTATATGATAATAACTATGTACGTGAATTTTATAAATATAATTCAATAAATATGTAAGCTTCTACTTACAAAGATGTCAAATATATTAAAATATTTCTTCTTTTAAGAAATTGATTCATGCCTCTAGGAAAAAATTAAAGCATTCTAAATCCTCTTGGGGAAATGAATATAGAAATATTATGCAATTCTGTCAACAGAGTAACTTGCATAGGATTTTCCACTCAAACTTTATAATGCCTCAATGGACAATGCAATTGTACAGGTAAAAGCACAAAAACATGCCTCCTGTTTATATATAGGAACATTTATTGACTATTTAAAAAATACCCATATCATTCACATTTATTGACTATGCTAACGAATACCCATATCATTTACAAAATCTCTGTGTTTTGCAGGTTAAAACAAAAAAAAAAGCTTTTCTCTGTGTTGAATGTTTCCCACTTGCATTGCTTTTGATGCATATTTTATGAAGCTATAGTGTGTTTCTATTCTGAGTTTCTCATTGAGACATTTGCACAGATAAACTAACAACATACTTTATTCCATGGGGTCTTAATTCTTCAGAATCACAATTTCTATTCAATTCACGAAAAAAAGATTACATGGATTTCTTGGAATGCCATTGTTTACCTTATTTTCAACATTAAGTACACTTTGGAAATTTTTTTACTGAAAAAGTGTGATTGCATACATAGCATAAATTAATCTCACCTGTAAAAAAAGTAATTCTACAGCAATATAATTTACTAATAGTGATACTATCAAGTCCATTTCCTATTAAAAAAAAAATTCAACTTCCCTAATATTAAGATGCAGAGATTCTGAAATGTGAGTGATTTTTTTCTTAACAAATTTTATTACAACTATGAGAAAAATAACTATTTGGCATTTTACCTTGTACATTCCAAAAACAAACAAACAAAACAAAAGTTCTCTACACTACATATATTCATTGCAAGTTACTATAAGTAAAAAATATATATATACTGTAATATACATACCACAACAAAATAGAAATTGTCATGCTACCCTTTAAATACATATACGTAACAATTATTGATATAAATATCAATACAGTTTGCATGGACTTGATAAAATTGAAAAATTTTTATACATGTAGCATATATACATGTATACCACTAAAGCTGAAGATTCTATCTGAAAGAATGTGGCATATTTGACAAGTCAATATAAGTATAAAGTTTACAGCTGTTGGTTTGACATTCTCATTTCATTAAAAAAAACTTATATTCAATTTCCATCTACTTACAATAGTTTATACATAAAACACTTTTTTGAGACACTCTCTAACATTCTACAACATCAAACCACTGGGAGTATTTTTTAATTACATTTATTTTGCTTTGCAGATAAAAAACATAAAATTAAACTGCAGTAAAACTTGCTTTTTACAAAAAACTTGGCCAGAAAGCAATTGTGGTAGAAGTTATTTTCAATTTTCCTGAAATTTCTTAAGGCATTTTTGATCACTTTATGAAGAAAATATTTAAGGAATACTTTCATATAAAATTCTTAATAATGTTACCCAACATTGTCAAACCTTGTTGTAAAGAACCTGCTGGAACTGACCAAAAAAAATTGAGATATCGAAGCTACTAGGTTACAAGACACTGGAGTTTAAATTATACACAAATGAAAAAAAAATGCTTTAATTTTCCAAATCACTATCCAAGGTGTTTGAGATACCAGTGTTAATGGTATCAAAATTCAGCTGTACTTCTAACAAAGAGGAGAAAATGAAAGTAATTTCTTCATCTTAATAAATTGAATGTTTTTTTTATGAAATCAGTTTATGAAGTGATTTTAAAATGCTTACATGTTATTCATTTGTCATTCTCTCTTTAACAATCATTAATTGAAAACATTTTTTTTTTCAATTTCCTCATGTATAACTTTGACATACGGTTTCTTAGAATCAATGGATATAAAGATCACCTATACAGGAATTTAATCCTTAAGCAATTTTACTTCAAGACTAAAACAAGTTATAGCTCAAACATTGGTGGCAAAATGAACAATTTTGTCATCTCCACTAAAATACAGACATTTTTACTTGCAGCTCAAAACACATGGCTAAACATTCTTAGAGATACATTTTAAGAAATAAACAAGATTGTCTTAATTAAGTGACTGCTGATAAGTATATGAAATATGGATTAAGGTGAAATAATATCAAAACTCTCAAAAACATTTTTTCATTCAATAAATCCTTAATTTATGCACTGATCTAATTTTTTCTCTCAAATTCTTTGAGTATTACTGACTGTAATGGGAAATAAAACCAGCAAATTATCCCATATACTTCATAACTTCAGAAAATTATCTGTCAACAATAAATAGAATTCTTGCAAAAATAGTTTTCTTTTATTTTATAGGCAGCTTGGTGTTTTGAAAATTCAACAATCAACCAATCTGATGTTAAAAATCAAAAAATAAATAGTTCTGTGACAAATCAATGCACCTTAAATATAAATATCATATCATAAGATCTACAAATACAAATGTAGTTACATATATATAAAAACAACTATAACAAAATATTGCTGATGAAGGGATTGAAACCCAGATTCCTTTGCTGCAGTTTTGGTTCCGAATCTGTCTTGAAAATGGAAATGAGTTAAATATGATAAAAGATTTCAATGGTTCTAAATGCTAACACATGCTTTCTACCTGTAGATCAAAATGATTCACATATACATGTTTCTCAATGATATGTCATCTAGTCTGCTTGACATAATGTTGGAATGCCACTCTGCTAAATCTACATAAATGTGTATCAAACACACCTCTAAATATCAGCTGCTGGACATGAACCTATGATATGACAATGTAATGAAGACACGGACAGCTAGGATTTGGACTTTTTGGTATCGTCCCTCATTAAAGTCACCAGTCCTCCTAGTCTTACTTGGTAAGTGCGTGCTCCCCAGGAAATAGTCCTGGGTTGAATGAATGCCTCTAAAAATGTCCATGCTGATAAAATTTCACGAAGTAACCATACAAAAATATACTGTAGCTTTGAAAATAGTAATGGTCCACCCTAAAAAGGAGAGAAAACAAATAAATGGTGCAAGGTTATGCAAAGATTCTGTACATAAACTTCTTTTAAAATGTTATATTCAGACAACTGTTTACAGTAAATCTGCATTCTTGCTGTTGCGATGAAGATACTATGATCAATTTCATATATTTGCCATTGCAATAAAGATATAAGGTACAAAAATGATTTTCAATTACAGTTTAAACATACCCGGATATAATTAGCTGGCTATAATTACAAATATCTTACCTGTATATTACATAGCTGAATGTAGTCCAACACACAGTTGAGTATGACATGGCATGTGAAAAAATAATATGGATTGATGCCGAAAAAATGATAGAAGGCCCAAGACGAATGAAGGGAGAGAATAAGAATTTCATGTAGAGGTTCCAGAACCCCACTTACTAATGGCATCATATTGATACGTAGTCGGATCCACCTAAAAATGAAAAGACATACAATTACATGCACAATAATAATTTGGTTTGCCTTAAAAATAAGATATTTTCAATATTGAAGTACTGCAAATTTTTCAAAGAAATTTTTATTCATTATTTCATTAGGCTATGAGATATGGTGTACGCAGTTTTGAATTAAGTTTAAGAAAATTTTTCAGATAAACACATCTCTCTGTAATCATCCAACAGTTTAGGTGCTATTTATTTGTCAAGATCAAAATATAATGAAGATATTCTGCATAGATAAAATGAACTTTCAATATACACAACAAAGCCACACCTTGGACTTGAATCGCTAAGTATTGCAGGGGACATGAATGCATATTTTGGAAGTTAGAGGATTTCTGTTCACTATAATATAATTATATGATCAGTTAAACAGCTAATGTCTATTAGTGAAGAGGAATATTTTCTGCTCTTTGTTTACTGTTGCTTTGAAATATTTGCTGAAGATTTTACGTTTTCAAAAAAAAATATCACATATATAATAAATCTCTACTAAGTACTACATAGAACCGACATATACTTGTATATACACTGTCCGCGAGTGTCTACTGGTACAATCAAGCATGCATTTGACCAAGCCCCATCCTTCTTTTTTAAAACTTACAGAAACATAATTTCAACCTCTGCATGTGCCAAAGGCATGTATTAAGAAAATTGATTCTTAATTACTTTTCACAGCATTGCATAAAATAATTGCTGGTACAATAAATACAAGAATCAAGAAAATATTCCTTGCATTACATTGATATTGCACCTAATTTTGCCCATTTATAGCATTATATGATCTCTGATGATGCATAACTTGGAATTTCTGACATAACAGTAATTTACACTATGTCAGTTGACAGGTTTTATTAACTGATAATGACATCAGACAATGCCATCGAGTCTAGCTCTGCTTGTGACCAATGATCCAAAATTGAATCCAAGAACCTTTATAATTTGCCCAGTAAAGAGATATTATAGTGATTTTTCTCTGGAACTAATTTTTTTTAATAAAATATAATACTGTGTGCTAAAAAGTTTGTGAAAAAGTGTCCATTTTAACAAATTTAAATCTAAGCTTATTCATGGGTTAGGAAAATTTCTGTTTGGAATTTTAAAAAGCGCAATGACAATGATTTTCACAATGTACTTGTTATTAAAAAGAGTGTATTAAATATAAAAAGTACCATTCCCCTAGAACTGTCTAAGATGGTATTAAAAAAAAGACAGCATATTGATGTATTAGGCAGTCTTTAAAAAATGTTTGTTAGCCCCCTACCAACTGACAGGTCCAAAATGGCCTGACTCAAAACTTTTTTAACCTCCAGGAAATCATTATTTTTTATGCATTCCAGAAAACAAATTTGAAAATTCAGCATTGTTGTTGAAATTTTTCTGGGGAAAAAAATATACATCTATTTTCAAATCCAAAATTTTCATCCTGAGTTGGGAGAGGCCAAACAAACATCATTTCAAAGTTTGCCTTATTACTCTGTATTTTTTGTGTACTGACCTGACCATACGATCCTTAAATGCTCTAATTGTCGGTGCTGCCACGTTTTGTTGGGCTGGAAATGCTGATAAAACAAGCTTATATCCCCTACAAAATCAAAATATTTTTAATTGCATATATTCATCTCATCTTTATACAAAAAAATTTTCTACATTAAATTGGATGTCCTTGATGAAACTCAAAACGGAAGCAAATTTTGAATGTTCAAATCTGATTAAAAATGTGACTAATTCTTACTTATTGTGAATAGCTTGTGTTAGGAAGAAGTCTTCTGCCAAGTATTTTCCATAATAAATCAATCCATTGACATCATCCACTACTGACTTCTTAAACATGTAGGACATTCCTGTACAGCAAGCCTGGCTTAACTGGTTCAGGGCAATGTAAAACCGGGATAAGGCACAACCAAAGTATACCTACAAAACGAACCATACAAGTAAGTCAACATATTCATCAACATTATTCACCTGTCTCTTACAGTCTTCACTCTTTCTATAAAACAAAAGAAGTGGGGACAAATGCAGAATTTGTTTATCTTTATTTCTGAGTATATAGAGCATCGCAACGTAAGACACCCCTTCTCCAGAGGCTCTTAATTACACACAATCATAGACATGAACCAAAATCTTTGACTTCCATCTTTCAGATTTCATTCTCAGGAAGCTGCCCCAACAACATACATTTTTATAGAATTTGCTTCTGCCCCCCTTAATGTACATGTGTCTTTAGATAGTGAACTTTAAACTTACAAATTTCACTGGTAATTAGTGTCTATTGCATCTAATGTCAAACCTTTTGGGGTTTGAATTCTTAATTTGACTTTGACCTATATAAATGAAGTCTTGTTTAACTCCAAATTCAATATCTTGTCCCTCTATACTTACTTGTATTTATATACAAGCACATTGATATTACCAGTACACATTTATATTGTACTCTACAATGCATAGCTGCAAAATATTTTGCTGATTTTTACTTTGTCTTATAACCCTTACATCTTAAGATCTAGATTAAAATAGGCTCCTGCTTTTGATATCATATTATTTCTCTAGCAGCCTCTGGGTTTTTATTTCCTTCACAAGACAGATCAGGCATATTTTTCCTCAAATTAAATTTTTTTTAAAGATAATGACATTTTTGGTGTTAAAAGATATAAAATATCTCTTTTTGTGCAATATGAAAGAAACTGAACATAATGGATCAAGAAATTGAATCAAACATTTTTTGCCCACATTGGTTGAAATAATTAGCCTATCTGACCCCTGTAAGGAAGGGGTGTATATTCAGTGGTACAATGTTAATAACAATGCCCATCAGGTATGATAAGTTATGGATAAGAAATTTTTTTCTTATTCAATTCCAGGGAGATTTTATTTTAGCTTTACATGCATATCCTTACTTTTTCTAAGCTAGCTGCAAATCCCTTCTGGTCTGTAACAAATGGCATTTGATGAACTAATCCTACGTTTGGTTTCTTTAGTTTACAAGCAAGATCTAGGATGATTTCTGATGATGCTGTAAATGAAAAAAAAACACAACATTTTTGGTCTTTCTCAATAACCAGCTTTTTGGTGAAATATTACTTATCTATGCCACATTAATTATTAAAACAGATACCTTCCAAACACAACAACCAAAAATAATAAAAATCCTTCTTACCTTTGATCCGACTTGTGCTAATCCAAACATTGGGATATTTGGCATTCTCATATGCTGGAGCCATGTTAAATACCATTGGATTAATTATTCCTTCCTTTCCACCTTAAAATATAAAGGGAGATAATTTAATGAGTATATAATGGTCAGGCTGGGTGAGGAAAAAAATGACCATTTCTTTAATTATGCATGTGACCAAAGCATACATGTCAATACTGATGTGAATTTCCACTCTGATTTGAATATACACAAATGCAGCTACAAACAGATATAGGGATAAATAGGATTGATTGATTGATTGTATACTGTTTAACGTCCCTCTCCAGAATATTTCACTAATATGAAGACGTCACCATTGCCGGTGAAGGGCTGCAAATTTAGGCCTATGCTCGGCACTTACGGCCTTTGAGCAGGGAGGGATCTTTATCGTGCCACACCTGCTGTGACACGGGGCCTCAGTTTATATGGTCTCATCCGAAGGACCGCCCCATTTAGTCGCCTTTTACGACAAGCAAGGGGGTATTGAAGACCTATTCTAACCCGGATCCCCACGGGGTGGGATAAATAGGAAGTTGACTTTGGATTTGTACACAAATGAATCATATGATCATATGGCATGCCTAAGCAAAGAGTGTGCTAAAAATTTTTAAGCATCTGATTAGTTGTTGAGAAAACTGACAGAAATTTGGTATGGACAGACACATGGATTAGCAGAAAGTTGACGTTAAAAATGAATCACACTATGCCCAAACAAAGGAGTCTGCTAAAATTTCAAGCATCTGAGATGAGTTGCTGAGAAAACTGAGACAAAAATTTGTTACAGACAGACAGACAAACAAGGGTAAAAAAAAGATACCTCCCCTCTCCTTTAAAAGTGGGTTTAAATATATTTTGTTGTGTGTTAACCTTGAAACAATGTTCCAATAGACCTTATTATACCAATCAACAGTTATAAACCATCAGGAACATCACTTTTTCCTGTCTGTATGCTTGCTCACCTTGTAAGTGATAAATGTACCTGACTCCCACCAGAACTTACCAATAAAAAGCTGTGAATCCACATTAGGGTATTTCTCCTGCAGCCTTTTCACAAGGTTAATGGCAGGATCTTGATCATCTGGCACACAGAACAGAAGTTCAAACTAAAGGAAAAATAATAATAAGTCATACATCAGCACAAAAATCTACAACTTTTGAAAAATTATTTTGTGCATACTTTTATTGCTATTATTCAAGTGAAGATTAATTTTTTTTTATTCACCCTCTAGTCATTTATAATACTTGCTTAAGCATCCTAAGGTTGTGTTAGTTTATGGCAAAACATGCATATAAATACAGTTAAATCTCATTATCTCAAACAGTGAAACTCAGTGAGACCAAAGAAACTTTGAATTGTCTAATGAATCAATGATGTCAAGGTTAAAAAATAAGTGGTTCAGGTTGGGACTTTCACATCACTTTGGTATCAATCTAGGTTTGTTAGTTTGTTTGTATGTTGTTTAATGTCCCTATTGAAAATTTTTCACTCATGTGGGGATGCCACCACTTGCAGGTGGAGAGCTGCAAATTTTGTCCTAAACTCGGCCATTGAGTAGGGTGGGATCTTTTTCGTACAAGCACTTACTGCGACACAGGACCTTGGTTTATACGGTCTCATCCAAAGGACTGATCTCCACACCCCACAGTGGGATTTGGACCAGCGACGTAAGGATCCTACACCATGTATTTGAGATATCAGATTTTGAGATGGAAAAAAAAAGTGGTTAAAACTTTCAATCACTTAGACATCTATATGGTATTTGAGACAACAGTGTTTTATGCAAATACAATCCTGGGTTTGTAATCACTCAAATTATAAGGTAATAAAATATTGGTAAATGCAGTTTATATATATATTTTTAATTCACATATATTCTAGCTGTGATATTTAATCTATTTTGTTCTTTGTAGAATGAAGTTCAGGTGAAGCTGAATAATTTAGTGTTTATAATATTCTGGCTGATGAGACACTTACGTATAATGAACATTTAAAATGTTGATGCAGTTACTTAGTCTTATAAGTCCCATGCAATTACATACAGCTAGTCAATAAAGACAAAACAAAAAGACAAACACTCTAAAAGGTTTGCCAGATGAAAAAAATCACAGGTTTCAAATGCAGTCTGCGTTATATGTAAAGTGTATTGATTGTAGCATCACTAATTTAGTTCATCCTTTTATAGCTGTAGCCTCTAGCGAAGTTTAAGCTTAGCAGTAAATGGGGTGATTTTCAAACAATTATTTTGTGTAAAGCAGAGCATTTAACCATGGAAAAAATGGTTGAATTATAACATTGGTTGGGATTTAGGCAAAACATGTCATTTACAATTTTTACAACAATCTTGCAATATTTTATTCGGTTTATATCACTGATATACATTAAAAAAAAATTTACTAAATAAAAGTTACTTGTATATTAAGCATGGAAGGATAAAGAAATATAAAATCTTCGTATCATACAAAGGTATGCAAAAATTGCATAAACTATTCCCTCCTCTTGTAGTACAGCTTTGGCCTATCTAAAACAATATTCATTTAATTTTAAAAAATGCTTTTAAGTTAATTGATCATGCCAATTTGATGATGGAATATTAAGACTTCACAAAAGATATTTAGAACTCAGAGAGGACATAGTGTTTGTATATGATTCTTTGATAATAGTACTGACCAAATAAGGTACAACAATTAAGAGCTGATCCAGTTTATCACTATTGGGGATTACTTTTAGCAATTCTAAAGAGGTGGAAAGGATGTATGCAAACATATTTCCTTGACCTGATGGTAAAATGCAAATAACCATCTTATGAATTCAATATGAAGCTATATAAGCTTACATTGGGATATTTCATAGTAAAATGGCTCTCTAGATTTTCCTCCAGTAATGGATCTACTCCCATCAGTGGCTTAACGACAGACACTCCTGCTAAATTCTCATCAAATGAGATCAGGTCCGACTTCCGATACAGAACACATTTCCTGGTAGAAAAATAAAATCAAGTTAAAAGACAGACTGCTTTCATTTCTGAATATATACTTGATGTAAATGAAATGAAAATGTTAAAAATCAATATTACAAAAAAAAATAAAAATGGAGACATTCTCAAGTTTCTATGATTTAAATTTAAATAGCATATATCTATTACTTTTTCTTTTATAACATTTTATTACCCCTTCTATAAGAGCTTCACGTTATCATAATGTCAAAAATGCACTATTGCAACGTCAATCTACCTATCAGTTGAAAATCAATTGTTTTAAAAATTAGTTATATAAAATTGTAATTAAATTTTTCAACCTGTACTAATCTTTATTTTGTTCCATTTTTTAATTAAGTGAAAAAAATGCTTTTAAACAGTAAATACGCTTCATTTTGATATGATGTGCGAAATATTGCACAATGGAAACCACAGTCAGCCCCCTTAAATCTGATGAAATAGTTTTAAATACTTACACTCCTATGAAAGACATAATGGTCATGAACCAGAAAATAACAAAGAAGATTATGGAGACCGTAGCCAGAAAGAACAAGATGTAGTCCAGGCTCTGTGGATCCAGGTAAAACATTGTCTGCGGAGGAAATACAATAGAAACACTTAATAAAATATGTTACTGAAGAAAATATCAGTGTTGGATTTACAGAGGAATATGAAATTTGCTACAGATAAATCTATAATTCGCATCTTTCTGTTTCATATATCAAAATAAAACTCCTAAATTCCTCTGTCAAATTCTCGTCGCATTATATTATATGCCATTTTCAAAAGACACAAATTATTACTATTGTCTGCATGGTTATAAAATCAATCAATTTATGCATTCAATGAATACACACCAATTTACAAAGATAATAATCCTTTTAAAATTGTCCATCTGTAACAGGCCAGACAGTACAGAGTCTTATAGACAAGATTTTAAATACCGAAACATACACTTAGAAAATCCAATTCTATTTATAAGTAGTCTTCACCAAATCATTACACGTCTCTGCTTGAAGCCAGTATTAAAGCTGAACACTTCTCATAAATAGGCACTGTCAGACGGGTATATAAACCATTCGCTTTCGTTACACCCGATTGCACACTCTAAACTCGTGGCCGACATGTAGTACTCCTATCGTGGTCTTAGATTTTTTACGTTTATTTCTTGTTTTTATGTGCATTTTCTGTTTGTAAATAATGTATTGACCTGCATTTTCCATAATATTTTGTCCTGTTTCGGAAAAAATGCGTAAAATTTGATAATTTCATCGATATTGAGTAGCACGCTTTGTAAGGTGTACGTCAACACTCTTCGGATCTCTATAGTGAAATACATTGAACTGACTAGCGATCTGCTCCTTATATACGAGTTGTAGGGAGAGCGTTGAAGAACGGGAAATATGGCGGACTATGCCTATTTACGAGTAGTGTTCAGCTTTAAAGAACTTTTAAAGTACCCATAGCTGCTGCACATTTTCTGAAGTTAAGTGATCTACCTAATACCCAGGTATATACAATCTGGAAATGTATGACCTTCCTCAATAGCTTAATTAGACATAATCTGGACATTTCAACTCTATCATGTACATGTATTAAAATGATCTGTATATCCTTCAAGTTTTGACTGATATGTGTGTTAATATAAGGACAAATATACAGTAATTATAGTACATTGGACATTTTAGATAATTTCATAATAATTGAACTATTGCAAGTTCAAAATTGTAATGATGAATCATCTTACACCACCCTCCCCTTTCCCAACACACTCTAATAAAAACATTGTATCATTCATTAAAAGTTAATAGTCATGCAAAGAGCTGGTTTCTAGAAGATTCTTTCTTACCACTTCTTCACAGAAGAACTGTAGATCTAGCCAGCTAATGGTGGTGATGATGGTCACTTTGTATACATGGACACTCCTGACATCAAACCAATTAACAGCTGTAGAAAATGTGTCAATGACGCCTCATTCTGTTTCTAAAAACATTAAAGAAATAAATCATAGCAAATAGTACAGGAACTGATGCGAAAGTATATTTTAATATTACTAGTACATGTATGTGCTCTTAAAACAGGATGCATCAAGTGAATTTTACAAGACCTCCCATTATAAAAATGAACAAAAAATTCTAGGTTATTACTTATTAAAAATCATTTGAATAAATCGAACTGAAAGTAATTAAGCTGATCAATAGAGCTGAATCTGCACACAACGTTGAATTAAACCAATTGCACGGTAAATTTGAAGGATTCAGTCCGATCCATTGCCTCAGGAAGTTAACGGAAGAGAATTTCATATTTATAACACAGTCATTCGATTAAAGTTTGAATTCCGATCCAAGTTTAAACAGGTAACAGAGCATGATCAATTAAGAACAGAAAAACCAATCATCATATCTATTTCTATGCTAGGATTTAAAACCTAAACAAACTTGGAAACTTTCCAGGTATGTTAAAACCTTCATCAAAGTGAAAGTAATTACGTGACATTTATACAGGTACTCGTTAAGTGTTTCAACAAGAAAGGTGTCGCAAGTAGAAATGACTTACAAAGTGATAATAATTTAATGGAAAAGGTCTTTGATTCAGATCACTTAAAATGATTTCCACATATCTATTAAATTGGCTTGGGAAAAAATCTTTTACATATATAACTGAATACATGATGTACATCTGTCAGTATACATGTGATAAAAAGGTTTCTTTTTTTAAAAAAAAAAATCATAATACAGACAATATAACCCCTTTTTAAAGCCCAATCTTTAAACTATGTTAAATTTGCAAAAAATAAATAACATAAGAAGGATATGGCCCATAATATTCAATAACCTCTCAATGAATCATATGGCCAAGCATGCATGCATAATAATTTAATACATGTATAAATCAAACAAGATAGACAATTATAAACATACCAAATAAACAGACTTCAATTCCGAGTCAATGAAATACCTTTGTAATTGTTAAACAATACCAATTATGGCATATTCTTTTCATCTCAGAGTCATGTGAGCCTCGACATTTTGCAATATCTACCTAAAGATTGCTTGACTTGAACCTGAAAGAATTCTGTGAACTCTGAGTCAATACTCATCGAACGTTCAACTGGGAATGTCAACATCTGCTTACGGACAGTGAAAGGGACTTATTTATTTCCATTTAAGCAACTGAATGCTTAAGCTACCTCAAAAGGGAAAACAACATGTTCTACCTAATTATCTGCAAGAATATGCATATATAATTTTTAGAAAATGATATTTCCTTATAAAATACTAGCCAATTTAAAAATTGCTTAATGGATGAAATTTACATCGAACAAATTAATTTCTACTTCAGAATACTAGTATTTTGAAATTAACATTGAAACAAACTAATTTAAATTTTACTTCAGAACATTTTTATGATAAATCTGCCAAATCTTCTAGAGCAGACAAACTGTATTAACCAACAGCTTAACTCTTCTTAATTTACAAGATTCATTCAATTCCAATACATGTACATGTATTACCGAATTATAAGGCTGCATGCCCTGATTTTCTGTAAATTCAAACATTTCAGTTCCATATATACAATTCCTTGACTAATTCATGTTGCTTTCCTGGATTTTTTTTTTTACCTTAGTTGTATGTAATATCTCCTTTTATTATTTGATATCTCTCCCTTCCATGATTTTTTTTTCAATGGCCACAGGTAAAACTTAACATAAAACAGTTGTCAATATTTACCTGTATTTCCTTATAGAATTTTCGTCATTAGTAGCAAGAATGAACCCTCAAGGAGAGATAAAATTTCAATAAAATGAATTTTGCAATTTCACAACTGGTGATAAGTTTCAGAAGTCATCAGATTTGCTCATATTGAGACAACTTTAACTCAGGTATAACCAATGTATTGTATATATACAGTAGAACACATAGAAAACTCAAATGTTAACTACTTTTTAAATAATGAATATCCTCTTTTCTTTGAGAAAATATGAAAAGATGCAAAAGGAATTTCTTTTGCAAGATATCTAGATTTTTAAATGAGTTATGGAAAACCAAATTAAAATAAAATTGCAAAAATGGCAGTTCAAGAATTGTGGCAAAGCAGGGTCTGATTTTTCCATGGTAAAAATTGAGTTGAATTGTAGAGAAGAAACTGATGGTTGATATATGACAAATTTTGCAATGTTCCAATTAGCAAATATGTAGCTTATATGTAAAAACTTTTTCAACAATCCCCATCAGAGAAGGTTCAATAGAAACTACACCACTATGCTTCATCACATATTTCCGAACACAAAGTAGATGTCACCTCCAATCACTTTTGATATCAGCTAGTCTCACTTTTACAATATATACATTTGTCAGTGTATACTTGTTCATATAAGTCTTTTATCCTTAATATCTCATTAGCTATTGGATATTTTTTTTCTTGGTCCCTGGTCGAATATGAAATAGTTCAAGATACTGCTGAACTAATATTAGGTATTGAAACTAAAGAATCTTCATTTTTTGCTATTCTTTAAATTCTCACAAAAATATCTTTTTTTATTTAACAAATACATTAAATTAAAGATTTCTTTTCATGTAGCCATATAATACTGCTTCTAAATTAACTTTTAGTACCAGTAAATTAATCTATATACTCCGGTACATCAAAAAATTTAAGTTTCCTCAACTAGCTGAATGTGACTATTGGTCATACTGCATTATCTTTTATTACAGAAATTGATCAAGTAATTATTATTGATACCAATATCTTTTTTTTTTCCTTAAAATATACAGATAATATGAATACTACCTGATGTTGTTTAGAGCTTGCTCCATTCAGTGTGAGACAAACCTCTAGTTACAAAGGAGGAGACAACGATTATTTCCTGTTGGTAAGACAATCAAGTGTAAAGACTGTACACTGATACATCTATATGGAGTAGGAAGGCTTATTCCCTTCCTGACACAGAGACTGAGATCAGCTTCCTGTATTATGTTCTTTTTAAGAACTCCATTATCACTCCATCTTTTATTGGAGTAAATATTTGAATGATTAAACTTTTGTCAAGTACCAACTAGGGTATTACAAATACTTCCAATTCTCCTTCAAGGATAAATTTCTTATATATAACCCACCTATACACAAAGTAATCACTATTATCGATAACTGGTTAAAAAAAATAACAAAATCTTCTTTTTAAATTTAGCAATTTGCTGCATATTCAATTGTGTATGTCCTTAAATCTTGACTTTTGGGGTCTTCATTAACCTACTTTTATGAATCATTTCATTAAGATGTTTATTACATCTTCTTTGCTTAAGGTTTTGTTTATAATTAATTACAGATGTAAACATAAATTAAAGGAAACTTCTGCATAATCTTATGTAAAAAAAGCATCCAAAATATGCTAGAATAATAGGCATGACAAACCCATAAGTACGTACATATATATTGTTTACCAGAAATGAAACACCTCAATCACTGTCACTTTATTTCATAAATTCAATCAGCTTTTATACTACATACTATTAAATCTGCTCTGCTGTTATTGCAAAATTTCACTCTAGGGTATTATGCTGCATGTATTGCCTTCACTATAGCTTACATTAAATTAACTCAAAAGCATTATGCAGTTAACTTTATAATATATATTAATTTAAATCAAATCTAACAGTCAACAGGTCAAGGATGTCATACACAAATTTCATAAAACCACAACATAATCTCCTGACATATCACAATGACATAACGAGATGACATGAACAATTTGACCCGGTAGTTCCTGGTCTTATAGGATATACCACAAGTGAACGGGAGCTATTCAATATGCCTTAAATCTACAAAATTTTGAAATCCATCCAACATTTTTAGTCATGAATAAATATGTCTTACACAAAGATACCAAAGTACTGCATTCAAGAACACATTAGTAAACTGACATTTAAATGTGAATGTGTATATATATTCCAAGGGTCAAATATATGTCCCTAATATTGTACCTTGTACTTGTAGTTAAAGAATGGATCGAACTACATATAACAACATGCATACATATAGCATTGTGGGGAGTGGGGATCCCCCTTTTTTCAAGCAAAACTTTTTAGCTCACCTGAGCTTTTTTGTCACTTGCAGTTCACTGTCCATCTGTCTGTCTGTCTGTAAGAACAACTGGGACTGAATTTTACCAAAATTCGTACATAGCATCCCTATATCTGCTCTGAAAACTTGAACTGTTCCATCATCCAACAAATAAAGGCCAATTTCAGCATCCAAAGCAGGTCTGGTCTTGTGCATCTCTTTACTGTTCATTGTGACAGGTATTACTCAATCCTAGGGCATGTTTGAAAACAATACAACACAGTTTTAAAAACAATATCCAGTCAGCATGTTTTTGAAATCCATCCTGCATGATTGATCATTATATAATTCCTTCATATTGACATTCCACATCAATGGTTTTTACTAGAATTATCTTTCCAAGTTTGATCTGCATGCACTTTCTTACATCGGGATCATCAAGTTATCTCAGATTAAATGTCAATGTGCTGTACAAAAGCACACAGTCTAAATTATAAATGAAATGAATAAAATGAATATATTTTGTTTATTATGGCCTTAAGTAACCCCTTCCATCTTTCACATTTCTGATATCCATATTCAACTTATTTCTCCAAAACTAATCAATATATTGATTTTCTTCATCATTTCTCTCTGTAATGTAGTGCAATAGAATCAATTATAGTCAAAAGTCACATCAATTCCCTTGACTAGGTATTTGTATATTCACTTAAAACATTGTTGTGACATCATGCCTTTGTTCTTGCAGTCTAAAAATTTACCTGTAGCCGTCCGATAATAATAATTACTGTTAAAGTGAAATTTGTGTGAAATTGTTTGTATAATTAATGCTTGATTTATATTATCTTAATCTTGTTGATTTGTAGTAATTGCTCTAAGCTACAGACTGCAGTGATCTGTTTATGTGATAAGGTCTTGACCGC